AGAAATTTTATTTTTTGTACATATATAGGCCGCACTTGTCTATAAGCTAACTTTTAATTAAATAAATGCTTTTTCCGAACAGTGCCTGTAACACGCCTGGTTAAAAAAATAAAAAATACAGTAGCCTGCCAGAAAAGTCATTGATCACTATCTTCATTTTCCTCCTGCGCACTAAAACCACTAAAGTCAATTCACTGATGCCAGGCTTATGTGCAGCAGCTCTATTTCCTTCTTCGACAGGCAGATCGATCGCCTTTAACTTGAAAGCTGTATCATATGCATTTCTTCGTGTGTTTTCCATGATGAGGGTGTGTGCATGAAGCGCAAAATGACTGATCTGAAGAATTTAGTGTGAGTGCATTTGATTTAATTCGAACAGTTTCATTGGTCCACTGTGACCTGTTCGGTAATTTCATTGGTCTGATGTGACGAGGCTAAATGTATTGGTGGCATGAAGCTCGTTACCCCATAAAAATCCATAAATTAGCCGCATCATTCTTTAAGCCGCAGGGTTCAAAGCATGTGAAAAAAAGTAGCGGCTTATAGTCTGGAAATTACGGTAGGTGTAACCAGAACTGACACAAGTGAAACGTTCGAGAAAGGGACTGTGGGAAATATACTTTGAGTGTAACGATGTAATTCCAGATATAAACTGTGCTCCTGCCTTATGTTTGTATGTGAGTTGTTTTTACTGTTGGTATCTGTTGTTTTAAAGGTACTAAGTATAGCGTCTTCTTAATGAGACATTAATGAAATTAGATAAAGACAAGATCATTGCTAAGAGAATTGGCAGCTTGTAAAAATCACGCTTTTTTCTCAAAGGGTTTTATAATCTGTGGAACAAACGGCACCCTCTACCTTTACGCCCTTGGAAAATAAAAGAAGAAACAAAGGGAGAAACCTCAGGAAGCGTATCAGAGGAGGGATCGCTCCTCACAGATCTGAGATAGTTAAGCATGTCTGAGTACAACTAATGTCTTCCATTATCTTTTGTTTACAGCCCTTCCAGTTTTATCAGATCCTACAAAGCGAAAGGAGGAACAGAATGAACAAGGACAGGGAGAAATTATTTCCTATAATCATAATGATCCTCTGCTTTGATGAAAGAAGGGGATTAATAGGAACATACTGTGCAGTGTGAAAGGCAAGGGATACAGATTTCTAGTGATTATTGAAGACATACTGTAAAACGCTTAGTGTAGGTGTAGGAGTTTCTTCTGGCTAGACTCCTACACACACTGTGGTGTGTGCGCGTACACGGTTACAACTGCCTACCAATAACCTTCATTCTGTTTGTGTTTAGCTGGCACAATCTCCACTCTAACATTCATTAGTGTCTTGACCGGGCTCCCTTGTTAGTCAAACAGCCGTATGCCTGCCTGACATTATTCAGCTCCCCACCGTATCGAGAAATACCAAATGTCAAAGCAAGGCCTGTCTGCCAGTCTCCATGCTGCATGTGATCTCTCCAATTAGAATTAGCACACACCCACAGCAGGCTCTCATTTCAACACAATATCGCTGCACCCTCACCCTTAACAAGCAAAGAAAGTAAGAAAAGCTAAAATGCATTTTCACATTGCCTAATATTAACGAGTGTTAATCATTATGACAGGAGGAGTGAAGATGTTTGGGGAACTAGAAAGAAAATAAGAGATATTTACTCTGGTGATTCTGTTGAAGTACTCACTATATGTATACAGTACCCGAAATTGGGTTATAAGGAGCGCTGGAGTGCTATTCAGTCTGTGTTCTCAAAGCCTCTGATATCACAGCGGCACTGCACTGGACAGTGATGAAACCATAAAAACAATCACAGCAAACTAAACTGATCAGTTAAATTTACTGACAAATTTTTGGTTGTGAGAAAATAATTACAGCTATAGTTTTATCAGGTTCATGTGGTATCTTGAAGTCAAAAGGCTACTGGACCTGTTGTGTATCCTTGAAATTAGTTTAAATATATTACTGCATTGTACACGTCTGTCTGTGGTTGTGTGGGAAAACTTTTTAGTTCAGTCCTATTGTTTTTGGTACACATTTTGGCATTTTGAGGACATTTTGGCCAGTTCTCCCAATTTCCAAGGGTTGTTTGATTATGTGTTTTTCTTGTTTGAGCTGCATCTACGTTTTCTGTGAGGCTCTGCCATAGTCTTTGCAGCCAAGTCCTAGTTACTGATGTTCTATTTCAATACTGAGTTGAGTTTAAGGATAATCATGTGTATTACTCACATCAGGTAGTCACATTGTTTTGTCAGGAAAGGTTTTAACTGATAAAAAGGGAAGTAATACATGTATGGTTGAGGTAAATGTCAATGTATTTAATTTGCTGCAGTAAATTACCAAGTAAAGATAATTCTGGACATTTAAAACCTGGCCAGTAATTGTGCCTGATTTGGCCATCATGGTTGTCACTTCTAATCAGAACTGCATAATCTACAGCACGTAGCCTACTCCCAGCCTTCGTCCACACACACATAAAGTCTAGAAACATGTTTCATCGTGTACAATTAGAAAAAAAATGAATTTAAAAACAGCTACATGCAGAAAATGTTTGTCAGCGGTAGTTTTTGCTTGTTGTGCTTATATCTGATATCTAGTCTTATTAACTATGACAGCCACGAGTGGTTTCCCCACTATGTTCACTGTTTACTCTAGGTTGTATACTTAGACAACCGCTAATGCCAAATGTCAGAAGTTAAAGAATATTCAAACCTCTTAATTGAAATAACAGTTTTTTATGGTTTGTTTTCATGCTTTTTTTTTATCCCTCACTATTTTTTTAAGTTTCAGTGCATGTATGATTTACAAGTTTAGCTGAGGTGGGTCTACTTGCATTGTGGGTGATGTAGTAAAAGGGGCATGTTTTGAATATCTTTTGGTTTTGCCTTTCTTCTTTTCTGTTCTGGTTTTCCTTTGCCCTGTTTGACTTGATATGACTGTTCTAAACAGTGACACACTTTTAAGAAGTAGCATAAGTCAAAAATTAAATACACATCATTTAGACAGTGTGTTTTTGGGTTTATTTCATTGGTTCTTTCATTCCTGCCCCCCCTCAGGCTGCCCAAGGACATCAGGGTAGGTGTCAGTGCCACCACCAGAGGGCTCCGTCTTCACGACGGAGTGACAGACAGATGGACAAACGGATGCAGCATCATTATGACAAGGCCACCCAGACATACTGGAGACCACCCAGCCATGCTGTGAGTCCAGACATAAGGGTCGAGTACTCCTCATAGGTGCACTCTTATAATTCCACCATGTTTAAATAATTATCAAGACATTACTGTATATCAGCACTTATCTGGTGCAGTGGTGCACGTCACAGCCGAACTGGTCACCAAGTGCACGTGTGCAGTATATTGCTGAGTCACTCCACTTAATTCAGTCAGCCCAATTTTCTCATTTATCTGCTGCCTCTCTCTAGCCAGCCATGTTTGAATTGTTAGATGACTGCACCATATCCTCTCTATGGAATACAGTTTATTAGGTTGTCAGTGGGCTAGTCACTTTGTCTCAGGCTCTTAAAACCCAGATCTCACACTGAACAGGAAGATGAGAGGCTGATATTAAGGCTTGTGTGATGGAGAAAGAGAAGAGAGAAAGATTGATGGGAGGAAGTAAGTAGAAAGTGAAAGAGAGAGAAAGAGAGAGCAAGGTAGAGATGGATAGATAGGTGTTCACTGTGTTCAATATCATGCCACAATAGTACGCTGTGTGGCAAGCCAAGTATTGATTCAATAGCAGGAGTGCCACAGGCAGGGTGCCTAGTAAACACTCCTGTAATTGACCCGCTCTCAGGTAAAAGGGTGACACACTCACACACACAAAAAGCCATACATGCCGTAAGTAGAATAATGAGATTACATACTGTAGAGAAAAAGATAGAACCTAAAATAATACTGAAGAGATTTCCAGTGTATTCACTATAATTATAATAATCAGCATTATTACATAAGGCCCAGCCAACAGTGGTGGAGGTATAAGGGTATATTTTAATGTAGTGCACGCAGGCTACTGAGGAGAGAAAACTAAAGCATGAAACAAGCCGGCTGACAAGCTACAGTAGGTCCCTGCTTACCACAAGAGCACATGGTTTAACAGTTGCTATGGAAACCATCAAGCAGGGCTAGCTGTACTCGATGGGAATCATCTCCACGGTGGGAACGTCTCTGTGTGACCTGGAGCGCCTGGTGTATAATAACTCCCCAAAACACAGGAAGATGAATTTGTTCTTTTCTCTCTATTTTGTCTCATCCTGTTTTTAGATGGTTCTGTTTTTCGCCATCTTCATTTTTGTCTTCCTTAAATTCATCTTACCATGTTATTACCAGAGTGGAGCCTTTTGCATCGATGTGGGGACAAACACATTTTATTAGTGACATTTTATTTTTCTGGGAGCTCAGTTGCTCTAAAAGGTTAGCTGTGAGGTGCATGCTGTGTGTGTGTTTTTAACAAGATAACAAAAAAAAGAGAGCACAGAGCAAACAAATAACAGAGAAAGGGATGTTTGTTTCTCAGCTTTTCTTTCTTCTTAGAAGGAATCAGAGTTCTGGCTGCGCAAACTTGGGTTCACAGTGTCCTTATAATGCTTTCCTTTTACGTCTTGTGTTTTTCACACAATTTTTAAATGTGCTTTAAAAAAAAAAAGAAATCTTTTGCCAGACTGTGCCTTTTCTTTGCTAACCCTTCCCATTTCTTACATAAATATTATTTATTTTTCTTTCCACTCACACATTCATCATGCCTGACTGCTTATACAGTGTTTCACTTTTCAGCGTACACAGTGTTTTGTCATCTTTGCTGTTTTTTTTGTCCTCTTGCTCTCTGAAATGCCCTTTTCTGTTGATTTTCTCTCCTCTGACATTTAAAGTGCTGCTGTATTACAGCACTGGAATACCTCTTGACTTCTGATAGTATTTTGAGTGCTGAGCTGAAAGGATCAGCCAATAATAACTTTCTTGTCAAAGGTCAGTAGCTGTAATCTTTTTATAGCTTTAATGCTGATAACTAGCTACTTTATCAGTAGCCCAAGGGGTAAAATGTGCACCCCGCTGGTGGGAGGTCTAGAGTCGAGTCTCTGGTTGGGCC